ACAAAGTTAATTTTTGTTTAACTCTTTGACTTAGTAGAAAATTAGGCAACACTTCCCGTATAAAAATAGGTTTTCCATATTTGTACTAAGCTCAGACAAAAGTTGAATTGTGTAAAAACAACATATGACTAACTCATTGGATGTGTTGAAATTTTATCATTGTTTCTCTTTGCAAAAATATTTTTGCAGAATTTATACAAAGTGAAATATGAAAAATAAACTTAACTTTGAGAATGCAAAAATTGAACCAACTCATATAGCTCTTGCACATGGCGAACATCTAAAGCAACTACCTATCAAAGTTAATACTCAGACTCAGTAAAACTCTCACTCAATCATATGCAAGTCCATGCCACAATGAGTAAGTACTCTCACTAAAAACTCCCAAGTTGTTTCTATATAAGATAATTGATTGATCCTCCAGATGATTATTCCTTTACTCATCTTACATACGATATGACGCTAGGCCATTTAACTTAGAAACAATGTTTAACCCTTCACAAAAAATTATCCCTCAAAATAAAACAACTAGTCGGATCTGACTGAAGCCATATTACCCAACTATTAAACAATTTTAACAAGCAAATCAAAAGAAGAACAACAACCAAACTTGACCGAAACCACATTGTCCGGTTGGGGTAAGGAACAAAACGACATAGTATAAATAGCTAAGCCAAACCGCAACCACATTGTTTGGCTGCACGGATAACAACTTACAGAGGTATGACAATCAGACCTAACTGAAGCCAAATTGTCTAATTGATAAAAAAACAAAATGATACAACATCCATGTCTGACCGACATTACATTGTTTGGCTGCAAAGAAGACAAATCAACAAATATTTACAGCAACTAGACCTGACCGAAGCCACATTGTTTAGTTAGAGAGAATTCAGAGGAAATAAAATAAACAAAGGAGACCCAATCAACGTAAGCAAAACTACCTTTTTCCCACCTACCCCCAATTCATTCTCTTAGTCTGAATTTCAAACAACAATGCAAAGTAAGTTTCACACAATCTTTTCTTTTACTTAATCTGATTGGGTTCTATAAAAAATCAGTGAACATATGGTTCCAGGCATACATTTAAACCTGACTTAGAGAGGTGTAATAAAATAGAGGTATAGTAGGTTCACACAAGGCAAAATTATGGTATACTTGATTGTTCTCTGCCTCCATAACTCCTTTTGAGCTCCGACAGGGCTTAGACTTGCGTGAGAGTGCCTTGTTGCCCTGATGCGCCAGAAGGCCCCGCAATGGTGGCCAAAATCGCAATAGGGTGACCAACCGTGGTTAGAACGTGGATTAAGAGGCGCTCTCTCAATCAGTTATTTCCTCGACCCCACTTTTACTATCCCAAAGTTGGGAAACCCCGACTTTTATTCGCACCGTGTCCTGCTCCTGGCAACCTTTCCAAGGTTGTCGGCAACCTTTACTGTAAACCAGAACACAGACAAACTGAGTACTCACGCACTGCACACTATGCAGACCCAAACGCCGCCTCCGGTAAGTTACCGAAAATCACCATTGACCATGATTCCGATAACTAACCTTGATGCTGACCATTAAAACGCTGGTCTCTAGGCCAACACACTCAATGCGTGCACGATGCTAATCCACATTTTAACGTTTTTCTAGCTTGCACTATTGGGCGAGGTCATCAATTACATCATCAACTCACTAAATAACCAGACGTCTGCCTAAAACCGTGCGTCCCTCAAAGTGCACGCTGACACACTTTCTGATCTAACCATATGCGCGCTCGCAATTACGACTTTTGAGAGTTGGTTGTGGGCCGCGCAAGACAAAAATACGCACGAATACCCTTGTAAGGGTATTCGTGCTGACACCGTGTCCCAGAAAGTCGGCGTTACCGTGATTCAATATTTTTATTTTTTTTCCTTGTCGGCCTTCCCTCCTTGCTACGTCCATCTGCAGGTACCATTGGCCTCGCCCATCCGCAGGCACCGTTGGCATGCAGTTCGTTTTGCTCTCCATTCTGCAAAAGTCCTTGCGCCATCAGCCCCATGGGGGAATCATTTTTTTTCACGTGCCGAACGCCGCAGACCCATCTTTTGTGCTACTTTTCCTACTTTTTGGTGAAAGTGCCCTGTCGGGTCAGCCCCTTAGCTGTTTTCCTGTTGGGTCAGCCCCTTAGCTGTTTTCCCCTTGTAAAAGTCCCTGCGCCGTCTGCCCTATGGGGCCAGAAATTTCTTTCACTTGCCATGGACCCATCTTTCGTGGTACTTTTCCTATTTTTTTGGTGAAAGTGCCCTGCCGGGTCGGACCCTTAGAGGCTGATCCAACTATGAACTTTTATCAAAAAGTCGTAAAAGTCCCTTGAAAGTAGGAGAAGTGCCGAACATTTCGTAGGGAAAAAGTGGGATCCCATAGGCCCGGACTTCTTGGCGCTTTCGTGATTGCATCGCCGAATTTCGATGGCCGTGCACGGGTCCAGCGGAGACACCCGGTCTCCTTTTGTGTCCGCGCGCCCCGCTCACAAAGAAAGATCGCCTTCACAAAAAAAAAAAACACAATCGGTTGGACCACGGACACAA